CAAAAGCATGATTGATTCAATCTACTTCAAGTCTGAAAGAACATGTAAAAAATTATATTTACCCAAACACAATTTCTAATGACGTTTTCTTNCGATAAGTTAGTATCAAATAATATATTCGTATTATTTATTACATTCTTTTTATTGCTATATAGATGTTCTGAATTTAATGCGTTAACATAAATCATTCTTAATTATTACCAATCAATCTTGTGAATTAAATTTATACAATACTCCCTCTGTTTTTAAAAATTGATGTTTTAGACTTTTCACATATATTAAGAAAACTCAATAAATTTTGATTGTAAATGTATTGTTTTTTATGAATAAAATTTTTCCATAGCTTTTAGCCAATATAAATTCAATAAACACCATTAATATTTTTGAAACTTACAATTTTTCATTAAATCATACATTGAAAAGGTAAAAAATCAATATTTTTGAAATTTGATTTTTTTCCAGAACATCAATCATTTAGGAACGGATGGAGTATATGTTACGTGATGTTGTAATCATTATTAATTGGTAATCATTAATGTGGTAAATGTGGACATATTTTTCATTCAAGGCAAGTTGTGAGAATTAAATAATAAACAAGTAATAATATAATTGTTAAATGACGATAATAATAACTATAAAATGATCTTATTATATATTGAGATCTGAAAAAAATAATCTAATAAAAATATAACTAAAAAAACAATAACGAATACATTGACTAAATAATAACATGTCATTAGAACGAAAATTAGATAATTTTATCTCTTCCACCAGATTATTACTAAAACATGAGTGTTATTTTAAAAATTTTCATGAGCACAAGAAAAGACTCAATGTGTTTTTATTTGAAATAAATAATAATGAATAACGCGGATAGTGACAAAAGACTAAATGTGTTGTTCCTGGAAACTATTCACAAATAAATATTTTTTTAAAAAATTCGAGATCACTCGTCCTTGATTTTTTTTGTGGGAATGTTTTTTGTTGACAGAGTGTTGATCCTCCAAGGTTACTGCCATGATCTTCTTGGTTTTTTCTTTTGGACAAATGAGTTCCTGAAAAATCACCACAAGGAAATATCACCTAAGGACTGCAACATCATGACATGCAAGAGAAATAGTTCATCTCATTAGTATGCTATTGTAACTATAAAATCTAAGCAATTATAAAGTGTAATACCGATTTAGAAGGCAAAGCAGAAAATATTATTTTTTATAATAAATATTTAAACTGAATAAAGAAAGTTATTAGATCTACAATATCATAAGCTGATTTGAATTAAATATTAGTTTTCTTGTGCAAGTTATATTAATTAAAAATAAGGCATAAAGCAATTTAAAGAAATATATTAAAAAATGGAAAAGAATTCATAATAAGCCATGAAGCAATTTAAAAAAGATATTAAAAATTGACTGTCATAAATTTGCAATAATTGACATACCATTTAAGACAAGTAATTGATGGCAAAATAAGGTAATCAACATATCAACTTGCGCAAGTAATTGATAACAAAATAGGGCAAGTTATTAATAAACGGATTAACTAATTAAAAGCTTTTACCAACAAGGTATATCTTTCCTAATACCATAATAT